TTTATGGCTTAGTTGGCCTGACAAAATATTTTCTGTGAGTCATCGCTTCAAAGTGAGGACCTGGGGAATTATTAAAGACCTAAGAGCTGCCTCAAGCCCATTCTGGAAGGTTCCAGAAACTTGAACTGCTCAGGCAACACCTTTCAAGTACATGGGAGAAACACTGAGAAATGTCTTCCCATGTTCCATGGCTTAGGAATCCATGTGATCAGATATATTTATTTAAAACATTTAAATCTATGCATGCAGAGGTGTGTGTGTGCGTGTGTGTGTGTGCGTGTGTGCGTGTGTGTGAGCTTGTGTGTGCATGAATGCACATTCCAGTACCAGTACCCACTTCCTTTTCTTTCTCTTCTTTCTCTCCCACCTTTCTCTTTCTCTCTCTCTCTCTCTCTCTGTCTCTCCCTCCCCTTCCCTCCAGTCCTTGCTTCCTTCCTTCCTTCCCCTTTTTTTTTTTTTGGTGCGGATCTTAGGGCTTGAACTCAGGGCCTGGGCGCTGTCCCTGAGCTTCTTTTGCTCAAGGCTAGTACTCTACCACTTGAGCCACAGCACCACTTCCAGCTTTTTTGGTAGTTTAGTGGAGATGACAGTCTCATAAACTTCCCCACCCAGGCTGGCTTTGAACCGTGATCCTCAGATCTCAGCCTCCTGATAGCTAGGATTATGGGTGTCAGCCACCAGGGTCCAGTTACGTACATAATTAGTAAATGATGAGTGAATCTATTTTCTTTGAAATAAAAAAGGAGGAGGAAATGCCTCTCAAATAACCAATTGTAAGGTTTAGGTCAGATGGAGAGAAAATATTCCTGCCTCTGAGAATTTGAAACACTGCTAAAGGTATCAGCATGCGAAATGAGATTTGGAGCTTACGAGAAAAGAGACACTTAGATTGTGTATTATTCACAATGACAGTTGGGTGCTAGTGGCTCACACCTGTAATCCTAGCCACTCAGGAGCCTGAGATCTGAGGATCACAGTTCAAAGCCAGCTAGGGCAGGAAAGTCCATGAGACTCTCTGATGAACCAGCAAAAATTCAAAAGTGGAGCTGTGGCTCAAGTGACAGAGCACCAGTCTTGAACAAAAAAGTGAAGGGAGGGGCTGGGAAGGTGGCTCAGTGGTAGAGCGCTTGCCTTGCATGCATGAGGCCCTGGGTTCAATTCCTCAGCACCACATAAGCAGAAAAAGCCGGAAGTGGCGCTGTGGCTCAAGTGGTAGAGCGCTAGCCTTGAGCTGAAGAGCTGAGGGACAGTGTCCAGGCCCAGAGTTCAGGCCCCATGACCAAAAAAAAAAAAGGGAAGGGACGGTGTCTGGGCCCTGAGTGGCAGATCACTGGTGCTGACAAAAAAAAAAAAAAATCATTCTTGTCAAACACCAGTGACACATGCCTGTAATCCTAGTACTCAAAGGCTGAGATCTGAGAATCGTAGTTTGAAGCTAGCCCAGGCAGAAAAGTCCTGTGAGACTCTTATCTCCAATTAACTACCAAAAAGACAGAAGTGGAGCTGTGGCTCACATAGAAGAGCACTAGCCTTGAAGTCTGGGCACCAGTGGCGCATGCCTGTAATCCTAGCTACTCAGGAGGCTGAGAGCTGATGATTGTAGGTCAAAGCCAGCCTGGGCAGGAAAGTCTGTGAGACTCTTATCTCCAATTAACCAGCAGAAAACTGGAAGTGGTGCTGTGGCTCAAATGGTAGAGCGATTACCTTAAACTGAAGAGCTGAGGAACAGAGCCCAGGCCCACAGTTCCAGGCCCACAGTTCAAGCCCCATGACCGACAAAAAGAAAGAAAGAAAAAAAGGTCAAGGACAGTGCCCCAGGCCCTGGGTTCAAGCTCCAGGACCAGGAAAAAAAATCCTTGCGAGTGATTGCCCTGGGGAGGAATGGCACATTGTGTGGGGCAGTTCTGCATTTTCTTGGAGAGTCACATGGTGTCCAAGGGCTGTGATAAGGGGTTTCCCAGCATGCTCTTGGATCTCACAGTATTCCTGGGAGGCCTGGCTTCAGAGGCCGGAGGGCCTGAGTTCAGTTCTGATGGGTCATGCAAGAACAGGGCCTTTCCTAGCTTGTCTCAGGACAAGGAGTTTTCTTTTACCTCAGTTGGAATGTGTGTGATGTGTTATTAAGAACAGAAAATGGGGCTGGGAATGTATGTGGCTTAGTGGTAGGGTGCTTGCCTAGCATGCATGAAGCCCTGCGTTCAATTCCTCAGTACCACATACACAGAAAAAAGCCAGAAGTGGTGCTGTAGCTCAAATGGTAGAGTGCTAGCTTTGAGCAAAAAAAAGCTCAGGGACAGTGTGCAGACCCTGAGTTCAAGCCCCAGGACTGGCAAAAAACCCACAACCACCCCCCCTAAAACCAATAAACAAACAAAAAAACAGGCTGGGGCCTGGTGACTCACACTTGGAATTCCAGCTACTCAGGCGGCGGAGAGCTGAGGATTGTGGTTCGAAGTCACTCTAGGCAGGCAAATCTATGCAGCTCATCTCCACTTAACCAACAAAAAAGCCAGAAGTGGAGCAGTGGATCGAGTGGTAGAGTGCTGGCCTTGAGCAAAAAAGGCCAAACAAGAATATAAAGCTCTAAGTTCAAACCTCAGTACATGTGCGCGTGTGGGCACGTACACACACACACACACACACACACACACACACACACCAGATCAGCTCTGGATGTTTCATTCCCAACACTCTAGGCCTTCACACAATCGAGGACCAGCACATTTGGCTGACCCCTTGATGAGCTGGTAAGACTGCAGGGCCGTGAGCCCTGATCTCCAATCCTTGTTGGATTCTGGGCCCTGATCTCCAATCCTTGTTGGGTTCTGGGCCAGGTATTCCAAACAGCAGGCCTTTCACGACAGCAAAACCTCAGCTGGACCCGCTGGACAAGCCACACACCCACATGTGTCAACAGAACTGATAACCAGACTGGGCTCTGTGGCTTCCTGTCCCCCATGGCCCTCCCTGCCATCCACCACTCTCCAAGTCCCAGTGAACACTCAGCCATGAGTGTTCACTAGAGCGGAGAGACTAGAGCGGAGAGTTTGCTTACCACATAGTTAACAGGCAAATACAACTTAATCACAAGGAAAACAGCTTTCATGAGATCAAGTTAAAGTCCTTCCATGGTCCTATTAAACCTTCTTGGAAGCCAAAATCCAGAGTTCCCTCCAATTTTGTCCCTGCTGGAAGAGAAGCCTGCAGGAGCAGGAGCAGGTGCAGAGGCCTATGGTCCTGATTATTGTTTTGTGTTGGTACTGGGGCTTGAACTTAGACGCCTTCATGCTCTTGCTTGGCTTGTACTTGGGCTCAAAGTTGGTACTCTATCACATAAACCACACCTCCACTTCTGGCTTTTGCCAATTAACTGGAGATACGAGTCTCATGGACTTTTCTGTTGGGCTGGCCTCGAACCATCATCCTCACATTTCAGCCTCCAAACAGCTAGACTTACTGGCATGAGCCACTAGCTCCTGGCTAGGAATATGGATTTTATTCTCTGGCATTGGTAAGTTGTTGAAAGTTTCTGGGTGGAGAGTTCTTTGATGAGATATTTGTTTTAGGAAAAATAATTTGAGGGCATCGGGCATTAATAACTATGGGTTATTATTAGTTGCTTACATGATACTTTGTTTAAGGTTTTGAGTCATTTTTTCCCTAAGCTCTTGCTTTTTCCCAATTACTGGCTGCTATCCTTTAATAGTTCATTTCCTATTCTTGTTTTGAAAGGTCCTAAGAAAACTCTAGAAATACTATTTCATATATTCTTTCTATTTATGAAGGGCCTGGTATGTTTCCACTTCTAGAGACCCCAAATTAGGATGTAGTCTGTGTCCTCCATGGGGCAATTCTCTCTGCAATTCTTCCATTTGGAAGTATGCACCCTTCTTTCTTCCTCCAGAGAGGCCAGATTCTGGCTCATCTTTCTTCCCAGACAACAGAACATTCAACTGTGGTTGAAAAGCAATCCAGCCCATGCTTCTTTTCAGAACTTGGAGTTTACTGCATTGAGTGAGACCAAGTTGGAGCGCAGGAACAGCTCATTTGGGAAGGATCACCATGGCTGCTGGCCATGGTGGCTGCACCATTGCCCTCTCCGCCATATTGGTTGTGTGGGGTCATGGGGACTGTGCTTCTGGCTTCCTTGTCAAACCTTATTCCTAACCAGGCCCCGGTGGCTCTCGCCTATAATCCAAGCTACTTAGGAGGCTGAGATCTGAGGATCTCAGTTCAAAATCCAGCATAGGCAGGAATGTCCATGAGACTCTTATCTCCAATAAACCACCGGAAAACTGGAAGTGGCGCTGTTGCTCAAGTGGTAGAACACTTCCTTGCCTTGAGCTGAAGAGCTCAGGAATAGTACCCAGGCCCAGAGTTTGAGCCCCACAACTACCAAACAAACAAACAAATAACACACACAAACACACAAAACAAAACAAAAGCAAAACACAAACCTTATTCCTAACTGATGGCTTGAGCTGGGCTCTGAAGACCTCCATTAATTGTGTAGCCACATATTACTTACGATATTACTTTTTGCTTAAAGCCAGATTTGCATTCTGTTGTACCTAAGCCATTTGGCTAACAGTATAAAAAGTAGCTACATACGGTCAGGGAAATCAGTGCAGGGAAATCTGTGCTTTGGGTGAAAAGCTGCAATAAAAACCAAAATAGTGCCAGGCACTGGAGGTTCACGCCCGTAATCCTAACTACTCAGGAGGCTGAGATGTGAGGATTCTGATTAGAAGCCAGCCCAGGCATATACATCTGAAAGACTCTAATCTGCCATTAACTACTCAAAAGCAGGAAATGGAGGTGTGGCTGAAATGGTAGAGCACCAGATTTGTACAAAAATGCTAAGCAAGAGTGTGAGGCCCTGAGTTCAAGCCCCACTATAGGCACGTACACAAAAAATGTCTCAAGATGGTAAGAACATAGTTAAAATTTACTTTGCCAGGTTGCACAGCTGTACAAACCTGCATTGATTGCTCTCTCAGGTCTAAGACCTTGGACGATTTCAGATAAATTGAAGATGTCCCGAATGGCTTGCTGCGGGACAGTGCGAGGGAGCAGGGAGTCCGGCTGGGATGGCTGTCATGGGATTCTCTTCTCCCAAGGCATTCAGAGCCCATTTGAAGGTAATTTAAAAAGTACGGGGAACATGCCACTTGCGAGGGTACTTCCTCCACTGAGACCTTACTGAACACACTTCTGAATTTACTTTGCAAGTGCTTTGACTGGTGCTCATCCTGTGATTTCAGCTACTCGGGTGGCTGAGATCTGAGGATTACAGCTCAAAGCCAGGATGGGCTGACAAACCCATGAGGCTCTTCGTCTCCAGCCGGCCAGCAAAAACTCAGAAGGAGAAGTTTAGCTCAACTGTTAGAGTCCTAGGCTTGAGTAGAAAAGCCAAGCAAAATGATGAGACCCTAAATTCAAGTCCCAGTACTTGTGTGACTGTGCGCATTCACACACTTGCACACTGTTGGTGAATATATATTTTTTTAACAGCTCGGGATGCTACTGGAATATTCTTTATTTGAGCTAGTGGAACTCCTGTATTTCAATGAGAATAAGAGAAACTCAGAATGGCAGCGACTCAGGAAGTAATCACTATGGCAGTGGACACGGCCACTACACCACAGTGGACACAGCCACTACACCACAGTACACACGTCCACAACACCACAGTGGACACAGCCACTACACCACAGTGGACAAGGGCCACTATACCACAGTGGACACAGCCACTATGCCACAGTGGACTAGTACACAGCACTCAGGCCTTGAGTTCAAGTCCCAGAACCAGCACACATACACCAAAACCTGTGGACTGAATCCTATTATATCTTCTTAAAGTAAACTGTGGCCATTTTATTGGGTGTTAGGATTTGGATCAAAAATGTTTGGCAAAAGCTTGTGTTGGATTACAGGTGTGAACACTGGATCCAGCCTTGTTCTTGTTTTTCTAAATCACTTCCTTGTTTCCTTCCCATATTCCTGGGGTACTTTGCAGGCTCATGTCCAGACAAATGACTGTTGCTTAAAGCTCGGCCTCAGGCCGTGCTGAGGCAGATCTCCTGTTCACTTAGGTTTTTGAGGCAGAACAATAAATGTAAATATGTGTATCTTTTTCTTATCTGTGGTTACATTTCCTGTCTTATACCATCTTCTCAGTGTAATTCTTTTTTTTTTTTTTCCGGTCAGTTGTGGAGCTTGAGCTCTGGGCCTGGGCGCTGTCCCTCAGCCCTTCAGTTCAAGGCTAGCACTCTACCACTTGAGCCACAGCGCCACTTCTGGCTTTTTCTGCTTATGTGGTGCTGAGGAATCAAACCCAGGGCCTCATGCATGCAAG